GATGAGGTATTCTTCAGTAATTTCACTAATTTGGATATAGAAATTTTCAGAATGTACTCCTACTTCATTCATGTTAATAAACTTTTGAGGAACTCAGTTCACTTTAGCTGGTGCTTGGGTTTGTTGACTGCATTATTTTGTTCAAGACAGTGAAGCGTAGAAAATTTGAATTATTTACTTGGAGACTAAATGAGATATGTGCCCTTCAGTATGATACTAAAACTCTCTCTGTATCTGAAAATGTTAGTGTACACTATCATAAGATATGGGATGCTAGAAGTAATAAATAAATTATTTTCTTCTAGATAAACTCCAAGGTTGTATTATGAGTTGGGAATGAATGCAGTGAAGCTTTGTAGTCTGTAGAGTTTCTGAGGAGGACTGTGTTTTGTAATTTTGAACCATGCAATTGTTGAGGAAATTTTATCATGAGATAGTGGAGAACTATAAGCAATTGGTACATTATTTAGTAACTTCAACTTTTAATATATCCACGTCGAACTTAGCTGATTAATATTTGCTTGATCCGAATGTAGGCATTGCAAGGCAAGGCAGACTGCTGTAGTCAAGGACAAAAGAGAGAAGCAGCGAGAGGTGCACCGTCTATATTTGATTTCTGAATTTCCTGATTCTTTTTGAGTTTTGGCTGCCCTGATTGTCTTGCTGGAACGGGCTAAGCGCCTAATTTTTTACAATGGAGGACCTGTCAAAGGCATTGTGTGAGGTAAGCATTCAAGTTTCTTATGTCACCCTTGGTCTGAGACCAACGTTTTATACTAGTTTCTGATGAGAAATTGATTATAAATGTTGTATTACATTCAAAGGTTATCTGAAGTGGTAGGATTTCTTCGGAATGTTTTTAATTTCTCCATAAGCTAGCACTCTAGCTTTCCATGCCAAATCATGGTTGTCCGTGCAGCCTAGGATAAAGCATTTAGACAATGAACAAGCAGAACTAACTTTTTCTGGCTTTGTTGTCATGCCAATCACTTTTCTCCTTTTTGTCTTTTTGTTTGACTCATTTTTATAGCATGGATGCAGACTTGTCCAGATGTTAAGAAAATTTATCATTCCTTCTATGTTATGCATTGTGTACTATTCCTAATTTCTCCTCTTATTATCTCTCTTTTTTTTTTTATTTTTTATGTAAATATAATATGCTTTCCTTTCCTTGAATGGGCAGTATGGCGTTAATGTAAAGCATCATGAGTATTTTGCTGATAGCCCTTCAACTGGAATTGAACCTGCCACTAGTGAAGATCAATAAGCTGAGTTGAATTACTCTCTTAATCGTTGTTTAATATCCTTGTTTGTCTGCTAAAGATGCTGCTACCATACCTAGTTGCTTTCTTTCCCTTAAGCATAATGCATGTTGACTTCAAAGATCATTAAAAATGAATGGATGTTGCTCAACAAGATTTAAACAGATTAGACAATTGGTTAGAAAATTTACAGAAATTGGAGTGAGCTCCTGAAAACACCATTGACAGAACTCCATAGAAATGTAGGGATAAAGCCAATTGTCATCCCTTTACTTTCATTTTTTGTTCATGCCCATCCCTCTACTATGAATTTGTTCATTGTCATCCCTCTACTCCACAAAGAGCACTAAATGTCGTCCCTCTACTCCCTTTATTTTGTTTATTGTCATCCTTTTCTTGACGTCGTTCATGTTGCTGTCTATTTGAACCGTTAATTGCACAACGGTCAGCAGTTAATGTATTTGTTTAACAAATTTTTTTCCACTTATGCTAACCAGTGGGACCACCTTTCCACATGTCGTGCCACCCAATCAAATAAAAATGACTCTTCTCTTCATCTATCTCTCGGCATATTCCCCTAAATGCTTTGTAGAAACCCTAACTCTAAATCCCTTCAAATTTTAACTAACAGATTAATAAGGAGTGACATAATAAACTTTTCACTAATTAAAAAAAATTAGTATGTAATTAACACCACAAAATAGCATTGCAAAGTCCAGATCAAGAAACAAAAGAAAAAAACGAAAAAACAACTTAACATAACAAAAATTTTTTTAGTCTCTACAATCTTTCACTTAGCATATTTCTCCAATTCCACTCTCAAAAGGTTTTTTTTTACCCCTTGATTTTTGTCTCACAAATCACATTTTTGTTGATAAAATTAAATTTCCCTTTGGTATTTAAGTGTAAAATTTTTTTATTTAACAACCTTTCTTGAATAAGTATACTTTTTGAAAAAATACAATAGATTTTGATTGTATTTTCTAAAAACTAATTGATGGTTTAATGTTATATTTTAAGTGATTTATCATGTCATTTATTGAAAAATAGTAATTTATTATATTTTAATTTTATAAATTTATGTGATATCTAAAGTGATATTTTAAGAATCTTAAATAGAATAGTGTATGGCTTATAAATTATTTTATGATATTATTATTATTTATTTTAATTTTATAAATTTATGTGATATCTAAAGTAATATTTTA